GGTAGACAAAATGAAGCACACCTACATAGAAGAATGTTATTTAACATTTAAAAGGAAGAAAATCCTTCTGGTAATGGTCAGTCATACCTATAATCCCAGCCTAAAGCAGGAGATCATCACCATTCTGAATCCAAGCAGACCAGGATACAGAGTTAAGACCCTGTCTTTCACCTCTCCCATAAAAGGAGAAATCCTAACATACGTGAGAATGTGTATGAACTTGAGGAAATAACGCTAAGTGAACAAGCCAGGCACAGGATAATACCTCATGATTCCATTCATAGGAGGTTTCTAACAGCCATAATCTAAGAAGCAGAGGCTTAAGATACGCGGTACTAGAGGATGGGACAACTGAAGAGTTTTAGCTCAGACACTTTCAGTTACACAGGATGATTAGATTTTAGAGATTTGCAGTAACACAAAAGTTGTTCAAATTCTATTCATTTAAAATTTTGTTCAGATGTATGTTAAGTATTCTTAATATAAAAGGCTAAAAGAGTTGGATGATGAAGCATTTGAAGAAGTCTGTTTTCCTGATTGTGGTAATGGTTTCACTGGTATGTCTTTATTCCCAAACTTATCAAGCTGAATACATTACAATATGTGCCTTTTTGTGGAGCAATAATACCACAATAAAACTGAGATAGATCTGTGTGATGTTTGGGATAACAACAGTCTACTAGTAGACTGTATGTCCAGCTCTAGTTTTCCTAGGTGATAAGGTTGCTCAGGCTGGTTTTGAAGTTCCTGTGAACCACACGATGATCATAAATCTGCAATCGTCCTGCCTCAGTTCCCTAATTGGTCATATTAAAGAATTATGATGTTATATACAGATAATAAAGCTATTTTAAGATTATAAACTAGAATATTTTTAGTTCAGAAATGCCAAGAGCATTATTTTTGGAGTTTTTTTCCCTTCATATATTTTACAGTGTACCAGTTTTAAAATATTATTGTTCATTTAATAGTGAAGATAATAAATTCCTGCTATCATAGAACAGTGAGATTCTACACAAAGCTCTTTGTAAACTAAATCCTGAACAAATGATGACTAATTATTGATTAGTGAATTAAAGATAACCAGCCACTATGCAAAATGGAAAAGTTTATTGATATTTCATATCATCATCTCTTGGGCATGATTAGTGGCATCATTACATGGAACTGCACAAGTATGGATACTATGATAAAGCTCATGTATGTGCTGCAAGGAGAATATTTTGTTCACACATAAGTCAACTATCTGAAGGAAAAACAGAATGAAAACACACACATACATACACCCAGTTATTTTTATAATTGCGCTCATATAAAAGTCCTTGAGTCATTCTTAGCCTAATTATTTAGTAAATACACTCTTACTGACGGCTTCCATATTCCATGTCACAAAATGGGAGACTCAGATTTGTTCACAGGAGCAAAATGACCTGAATTTTCAGGGGAGACGACACACTATTTCATGTTCTACAGGCAGGAGGAATACCAGACTGGCACTGAGTGCTAGAAACTATAAGGTTCTACTAATCTGAGCAGGTTTGGGAGGATCCAGTTCTCTACCTGAAATAAGGTATATTTAAGAAATCACCATTGCCCATGAACCCACAGGTTACAAGCTCATTCACTGCATGTTACATCTCAAAGCTTTGAAAGAAGAAAAATATGAAGTAATTTGGTATTTCATTCAAGATTTCCTCCATACCTGTAGACTTTAAACAATTTAAAATGATCTTACTTTTCCCATGACATCTCTTCCTTTCTGTTAGGTTTTTGAGGCTCTCATGCTCTATAGACTTATTTTTCAACATTTCTTCCTTTAACTTCAGTTCATATAGCATGATGTGGTACTCTTGACTGAGGTTTAGATATTCCTGATGATGCTTTCCGTGACTGTACTGAAAAACTAAAACTAATATCAGATATAATAGAAAATATTATTATAAAGGAGTAAAAACTGAAAATTAAGATTTAAGAGAAAACGTCCTGTCAACTACTGACACATATCATGGCTTTGTTAGTACTTCAACATTTAGAAAATAGCACCTCAACTGACCATAGAAATGGAATCATGATCTTCTCTCTACCAATAATGTGTAAAAAGCAAGAATTCATCACTATCAATTGAGTGTAAAATAAATGAGTATCTGAATAAAACTATGATAGGAACCCCTTACATTTCAGTTCCTTCATCTATTCACCAAAAATAACTTACAAATAAAACCAAAGGAAAAACCTTTAGCCAACACAATGCATCATGAAAATAAGAACACGAAGAAATGGCATAATTATTATTAGAGCAGATGGAATTTCCATAGAAGAGTCGTATTGGAATATATAGTTGTAGTTGTACATGGTCTATCAGTGAGTTTTCCTAAAGATGAGAAGGAAATTCAAATAGAAGATAAAGCTTAGACTCAAGATCTTCTAGTGTCTATGTACAGATCTTATCTCTTTTTTTTTTCTTTTTTTTTTTTGGAAAATTACATCTAATTATTTTGTGTGTGTATATGTGTGTGGTCATCAGAGAACAACTTTAAAAGTCAGCTCTTTCCTACCATGTAGGTCCTGGGCATCCAACCCAGGTTTTTCAGGCTAAACAGAAAGCACTGTGCCAGCACTTACTGGTCCTGATTCAGTCTTCTTACTTAACCATGTCCTTAACAGATACTTTTTAAAGATCAGAAAAATAACCCATAAATGCTTTTGAACAGATTTTTCTCAAATATGTTTAGCTTAGATTTACAATCACCTGGGCATAGAAGCTGGAATTTTATTTAGTCTTCTGTTTAGAAGGAACATGACCATGGATAAGACAGATCAAAAAGTTCAATGCGCCCCTAGTTAAAGGAGCACATAAAGAGAAAAAGGCACAGTAGTGTGTTGAGTAAAAAAAAAAATCCCTCAAATTCCAGAACCAGCATTATAGACTGGATATTAGATGGAGTGTGTTAGTAACTGCATGGTTAGTGTCCATGGTTATAACTTAAACAAAATGGTTTTTAAAAAATCATATATTTCAGTTACTCACTCTGTGTCACCCACACTGCAATTGCCACCAACAGAAGGAAACAAAGGATCCCAAGAACCACTGCAATGAGAGGCCAGGAGATTGAACACTCTTCAGTAAGTAAGAACACCAGAAAATCACCACAAGAAAAAGAGCATGCATGACCCATACTACTCATAACTGGGGGATCAGGAGTTCAAGGTCAACCTTGACTATATAGCAAAGTCAAGACCAGTCTAATCTACATTAGATCCTGACTCAAAAAGTCAAAACAAACAAAAATGCATTTATTTCTCCCTTCTCAAGACCTTCTTTAAAAAGCCTTGTATTGTACAACTTTACCCATTTTGAGCTCCTGTTACCAGCAGACAGTCAGAAGTGCAGGTAGGGTGTTCTTCAATGTGAAAAGTTTACCATGTACAGTAAAGAGACAAATTTAGATGTTCAAAACACACACCTCTGTCTTCAGTCTCTTTGGGCCCTTGAGTACCACCAGGTTTTACTCTACTCTGCTGCTCTGAAGAAGACTTAAGAAATCCAGAGTTAGAATAAAGCTCTTCCTGCTCACTCATCTTGGAAGTAAGTGAAGTATCAAAACTTTGCCTTGGGCTGATTTCAGGCTAAAGAAAAATTAAAATGCAACCTTTAGGAACATTTAGGATTTAGTGCTGGGGTGGAGGGGTGCAGCCAGGTGTTATTACCTCCTTTAGTGATCTAAAACTGCAGAGCATATGGACTCAGTCTGATTTACATAAGAAGTAAAAATCTTTTTAACAATTTGCTTTATGATGTTTATATGTCTAGTGATCTCAGCAATGATCAGGGAATCCAGAAAAACTTTAAAATCTACTAATAAGGTACCGTCTATGGACACAACAAAATTCGTTCAAAATATCCAACATAAAAAAATGATTGGCAAAACTGATGCCATATTAAATCACTTGAAGTCAAAACTTTTAAGCTATCAACAAATAAGAATACTCAAAACTTTCCAAAAACAAATACTTTTGCTTTAAAAATATTTGCAAATGTTCTGACTCATATTCATATAAAATATTTTGTGTTCTTTTCAATTTCATATGACTTTATGTGTTTCCCAAAGTGTATCCCAGAAACCATCTGCAAAACAATGATCTGAAAGTTAATACTGCAGAAGATCAACGTTTCAGATTCCACATGTGATAAGTAAAAGTCTCCTGAGTTAAATTAGCCCATACACATGTATTTTTAATCCCGAATAATTTTAAGCACATGAACACTTCATATGTCACATTACAGTATACGATGTTGTCAGAGGACCCTATGTTAAAACAAAACATGTGAATAGGTAGTTGTATCCAATATGATCATGGAAAGCAATATAGAAATTAGTAAATATTATTTATAATTTACCTTGCTTCCTACATTAATCAGCACAAGATATCCAACAGATAAACATAAGAAAACAAATTTTTATGTTTAATACAGCTAATGTCTTAATTTGTGATATTTTCTAAACATTCATATTTATCTGATTCTCTAAGAAAAGGGAATCATCCTATTACCGAATTTTTCAAAGTAGATTGAGATCATATGTAATCATTTAAACTAATTTAAAAGTAATTCACTCTGCAAAACCATTTGTGATGCACACAGCAAAAGTTACAGCACAGTGAGAAAGAGTAAATAACTTTATTTGGTGCTGAAATACAGCTTTCATGTTCAGAGTAAACGCAGTTCTAACATGATCAGTAAGAACTTTCCTGTCTCATTCTCTTGCTACAACGTTTGAATTAAAAAGCTTTTTCTGTGGAATAAATAGAATCACATGATGCAAAAACGTATGGGAATAAAAGCAGCTGTTACCTGTTCTCAGTGATGCAGTGGAGTGAACTGGTCCCCAGGCAGGGAGGAGTGGGCCTTTCTGTCCTATTCCCCTCAGAGGCTTCAAGGCCAGAGGCAGAAATGCATGGCCTCAGAGTGACCCAGCACCTCAAAATGTTCTGCCCCTCCTCTTGACCAAAGTGAAAAGAGGAAATTATGTGATGAAAGCTGCTGCTGACCAGGAAGGAAAGATGGTAGCAAAGTCCATATTCCTCTATTTGAATAAGTGCTTGATATGCTGAAAAATCATGTTCAAAGTTATTAGTGTACCAAAAAGATAAAGGAACAGATCTTAGAAAAACACTACTGGATGGAACAGCTCTCAAAATACCCTGTAACTGTGGTGAGTCACCTTCCTCTTGTTCAGGGAGGACATGGAGACCCCACTAGATGGACTTGAACCAGTGTCCAGTCTACAAAGAGGAGGGTCAGCTCAGAGGAAACATCTTATTCAGCTTCCAAGTG